TGGATAATTTACATATATTTTACATCATCCTCAAATAGTATGATGAAATTATACAAGAAACAGCTTGAGATTATAATCTTGATTAAATACTAGGAACAACTGGGCATAGTGACACATGCCAGAAATTCTAGCACTCTGAGAGCCTGAGACAGCAGGATCACAACTTCAAGCCCAAACTTGGCAACATAATAAGACCCTCTGAAAATAAAAAATAAGAAATGGGGCCAGGGATATAGCTCCATGGTACAGCACCTGCCTGGCAAGCCAAGGTCCTGAGATCAATTCCCTGTGTCAAGAAAAAAAGAAAAGCCCAGGAATATGGCTAAGTGTGACAACCCCAGGTTCAATCTCTAGTACCATTTAAAAAAAAAAAAAAAAAGCCTAGAGTCCAACATGTTCACTAGAACATTCTAGTGATTTGCTTTGGCTGGTATATCCCAAAAGAACCACTTACCAGCCTAGCCCTACCAGATCACTGTATTAAGGACAAAGTCTACCCATGCATCACTGTATCAACTCAAAAGACAAAAAAAGGAAAGAAGGGATGTGCACCAAAAAAAAGCAGTCATCTACTTAATTTCTAGAATTATTCAAAGCAACAATAAAGAGTAAGACCTTTGAATCTGGTTTCTCAATGATTCTACTTAGAAATATTATAGAGCTTGTGTGGAGGTTCTAGCAGGGCAGCATAGCTACTGGTATACCCTTGATGGAGGAACACTCTTCCTCTATTGAGGGTGGTTGTCCTCTTCAACTGAGCACACAGCTTCGGGAGATACACACATGGAGCGTTAAGGGAGGAAGGGAACACCTGCCTAGTCAGCCAGATCGGCCATATCAACCCTGGTGATCAATAGGGTGACAGATGTTGCAGCCAGATCACCCTCACATCCATCTACTTAGAAATATTCTAAATGGAAGTTACTGTAACTATGAGAAGAATATAAGAAAAAAATTGTTTAAAGTCAAAATCATGCTTTCTGAACTAAAAGTAAGTAAACATCAGTAATGCTAAAAGCTTAATTTGTAAATTCTTCAGGGGGTGATAATTATGAAGAAAAAGGCAAGAGACATGGAAAATATTTACTGTTCTGTATTCTATGATAACGGGTTCTGGAAGAAACTAGCTAGCTGTCCAGCAAACCTATTTCCTCTTTCTCTTGCACACACAGCTTGACTGTACTTCCAAGTCTCCCTTGCAATGCTTGAGCTCTGGCCAGTGCAATGTTGGCAGAAGTAGTATGTGTCCCATACATGCTTGGTTCAGAAAAACTCATGACTCATTCACTTTTTTTTTCTTTTGCTTTTACCAGTGGAAGCCATTGGCTGAGCAGTAGTCCACAAGTGAAAAGAGTCTTGATCGCTTGATCATCTTTTGAAGAAAAGATACCACCCCCGAGAGATATCCATTTCAGCCTTTACATAAGCCAAAAATAAAACTTCTATTATAAAGTTTGGGAGTTTATTCCACCAGGCAGTATTTACTCAATAAATTCAGAAACTGTTGTTGGAAGTGTGGTACTACCAAAACAATAACAACAACTAAAACTAAAATAAATACTGTTAGGTTGGTGGTCAGGCAATAGGCAGCAAGGATATATATTTAACATGGTAAAAGGCTGGAGAATGCTACTACATATGGAGAAACAACTGGTAAAACTACAACCTGTGGTAAGTGAAAGGCATACTAAATGCCTGCTGGACTTGTAGCATATAGCACTATGAGTGACTAAAGAGTCGAAGTTACATGTACATTAGCATCTACTGTCTGCTTTTTGCAAAGTATTACATAGAAGAGATGAGCTCAAAAAGAATTTGCAGACTGAAATTACAGGAAATACAAGTCTAGAAACTTTAGATTCAGAGGGTCAGAAAGCTGAATACATATAGAGTCCAAACAGTAAAAGAATAATAAAAGGGGGCTGGGGATTTAGCTCAGCAGCACAGCATCTGCCTGGCAAGCACAAAGTCGTGAGTTCGATTCCTGGTACTGGAAGAAAAACAAAAAACAAAACAAAAAAACAAGAATAATAAGGGGTTGAATAATAAATTCCAAAGAAAACTTATAGCTAAATAAAGTGACTCAATCCTGAATTGGAGATCAGATTCAAATATGAACTTCTCACTGATTGTTTCACACAGCCTCAAAGTAAACCACTACACTAAGAAAGAGGTATGAGGTAAGGGCTATGCTCCCCTACTCTTACTATATCCCTAAACAGTACACAAGAAAATTCCATGACCATTCTTGAAACCTCACTTAGGAAAGTACATTGGGTATAGTGTCCACATAGGACCCACTAGAAAGAAATACACGGGGACTATTTTGGGAGAACTACGATGCCAAAAAAACACAAATCTGGACTAAATAAACTTTCAACTGTTCAGAGCCTCAGACCCCTAAACTTGCAGGAGCAGAAAACAAGCAGTACAAGCTATAAATAGATGTGGACGTAAATATAAATGCAGATGTAGCTATACATAAACACAGAAAGAGAGAAAAACATGTGTCTTCTAATGAATGTCTATTGCTCAACATCCTCTTCAGAAATGTACTAGACAAAAATAAGGAAAAAACAATGCATACCTAGAAACCCAGGGAAACAATGGACACAGGAGTTCTTTCCACAATCAAAACTAAGCAGTTTCCCTTTTACTCAGGCTGAGAGACTTCCCAATGCTATCCAAGAAGACTGAATAATTGCTATGGACCAGAGAATACTATTTGTCTCCTATTCTTTCTCCTTTACTAAATGTAATTTTTTGTTTCATTTTCTAAATGGTAGTTACTCCATCCTACCTTCCTTACCCTGTATTAGGGCATATAACTAAAAATTTTGGCTATCTGGTACCAGCCTATGAAGAGCCACATCTGACTCTAATTGAGAAAGCTAAGCATCCCGGAGATACCAGAGTAGATGGGCCCCTGGGCTCTTTCCCTTAGGGAACGGGTGACTGTAGTCTATGCCCAAGAGGAGAGCAAACAAATAGCTAGTGGCCAGAGGGTCCAGAGACTAGCTACTAGTCATCAAATTTCTGTCATCCTCACTTTAAGGGCAGCTTTTATATAAGCCTTCCTTGTCGATGGGTATGGCCATGTAACTGAGTTTTAATGAATGAAAAGTGGGGAGACGTAATAGTGCTTTGCATCCCAGCTGCCCTTAAAAACCCTTCCGTATATAGTACTCATTGGTCTTTCCCCTTCTGCTCCAATCTTCAAATCCACACGAAAGGTAGCAGAGCAGCTTAATGGAGAGATTCTAAATCCCTGAATAGCCATCGTGGGTTTTAAAAAAAAAATCACAAATAAGAAATGCGACTTGAGGCTTTATATAGTGAGAAATAAACTGCTTCCTCCCCCTCTTTTCTAATATCCATGAACTCAAATATTTATTCAACTTCTACTAAATACAAAGTACATACTAATTTTGCGTATCATCCTTACTTTCTAGGTACTACAGAAAATTTAAAAATATGTAAGACATGCTTATTCAAGGGTTGTTCACATATATATGCATAGGATGATACATTTAGTAAGAACAATTCTTGATATGAAAAGTTTAATAGGAGGAATGAAGACTTAGCCATTAAAATTCTGAATTCCTGAATTCACTTAAAATTCCTTTACATTACAAAAGTAAAGCAAACAGCTAACAATTTACACAGACTGAGTACCATAGGAGATAAATTTTCTTCCACCTGACCTGAATTCTACTATAAGATCCAACCTCTGCAAGTTGCTTGAACTTGAGCAAGTCTCTTCCCTTTCTGGGCCATTCATTTCTTCAGACAATTAAACAATGAAACCAGCTAAGCTTAAGTTAAATGAGGTAATAACATTCTTAATGAATTCCTCTTTGACCAAAAGGGAAGTAAAATACATTTCTCAGGCAAAAGCCTAAAAACAACCTTAAAAATGGTAGCATCCACAGAGACTTTGTACTAGGCTTTCCTATTTTAAAATTTACCAAAAATTAGTGAAATATAATAAAGACTTGTCTTACTCAGTATCTTTATCCCTAAATCCAATAATGCAAAGGTATATTTTCAATGATTAATATTGTTTCACTCCTACTATAAAGAAATGACATGATTATTTCTACCAGATTTATCATCAAAATAGTTTTTAACTTTGTAAAGTACAACAAGATTTAAAGGGGTGTGTGGAATATCTCTATTACCTTAGGAGAAGGGTAACTGGCAAACCTCTTCAGACAAACATCCAAACTAAGATCATTAGCGCTATCTGAGACCTAAAATATGGTTCCAAATAAAATCTATTCCCTCATTCTCCACAGAATGAGAAGAACTCCAAATAACCTATTCAAGAAGATTAGTGTTTATGAAACCAAAACACACTTTCCACAAAGTCTTCCATTTATTGCTGTGAGCTATATCATCAGTTATATTAAGAGGTTTAACATAATCAAAGGGACTAAAATTTCAATAGAGCAAGGACTAGGCAAATCATTAATGTTCTTCTACTCATAATGACAAAAAAAACCTTTCTTTGATTATAAATCACAGCATCTCCCCAAAGGATTTTTTCTCATTGATTTCTGTTACTATCAGAAATAATTCATGTACAATATTACATCTTGCTTGTATAGCAAATAATCAGCCAAAGGTACATAATTTGAGTCATTAACTAGAAGGAGAACTTTGAATTGCTTTGGGCTTCAAATCATATCAAAGCAAAGTATTTATTTTTTAAAAAAAGCAACAAAGTTAATTTCTCTCAAATCCTCAATATAAACCATCATAACTGATTAATGTACTGAACATCCAATTTACTGGACATCCACAGAGCAAAACAATACTAGTTAATAGTTCACTGCTCTATTAAGATAATAAAAAACACTTTTTAATCATATGTTTCCATAAGGTAAACAAATTCCTTAAAATGATAAGAAACAATCAAGACACTTGGCAAAAGAAATCCATGTTGAACTGAGTATTTGCAAAGGCAACGTCCAATCCATCATAAACCCAAGACCTACTTGCTTCATGGCTGTCTCTCCAATTTTGTCTGAATGTTTGCGGATGCTCTCCAGGAAATCTTTGAGATCAGACATGGAAACATCTTTTATTTCTTCTCGAAGCTTGGGGATGTTGTCCACCATCACCTTGCAGAATCGATAGTGGCTTACTTGAGGCAGATAGGTATGCTCTAGATGTTCCAGAGTTTTCAGTGCAGGATAATGCCTACAAAAGGAATTGATTACCTTTAGCTGAACTCAGTCTTCCTTGGGGTTACAGATATACTCCTCAGGAAAAACTTCTAGCCTAAATTAGTTTTCATTGTGCATTAAGATAAATCCAGTATTGAGTTTTAAAGAAACCATCAATGAGCTAAGTCTCAAATTATTTTTCAGTTTTTGTTAGTACATGTTTGCATGAAATAATGATTACATTACTTTCGAGGAGTTAATACACAAAAAATACCTCAATTCTTTTTTCATTCCCATTCCCTCTCTCCCTACTCACTCCTTCCATTTCTCCCCCTTCCCATTTCAAAAAGATCAAGTTATTACAAATTAATATATGCTTTAAAATACTAGTAACGTATAATCAAAAAAGATTTTTATCTAAAGAACATATAAAACTTAAAATAGATACCAGCTAAGGAATAGAAGAAATTTTTAAAATATCTCAACACCAAAAAAAATTCAACCTATAAGATGAAGTAGCCTGGTACAGACTTCCAACTGTCGCATCTTCTACCCAGTGATTCATTCAAATTCATGGCAAAACTATCCAAGACAGCCATTTTAGGGCTCTAGAAACTGACCAAAAAAGAACAACAAATCAAGAAATGTTTATTCACGAAAACTGCTCAATGGTGAGATGCTGTAGTATACTTGACTGGGGCTACTTCCAGTAACACCCCACACACACACACACACACTCAACAAATCCCTCACCCCTGATCACTATTCATAGCTAGCCATGAAAGCCAATAGCTTCACTGACATTAGAGGAAAACAAAATTTGCAGCAGAGGGTAAAAAACCCACAATGAGTGGCATTATTAGTAAAACTGGTAAACACGGTAAAAAAATTAAAATGTGAATAGGAAGGGGCTGGGGATTTAGCTCAGCGGCAAAAAGCGCCTGCCTGGCAAGTGCAAGGTCGTGAGTTCGGTTCCCGGTACCGGAGAAAAACCAAAAAAAAAAAAATGTGAATAGGAAAAGCCACCAGCTCTACTGGCCTAAAGTTGTAGCTGGGCTGTGACAAATGGCAGATTGGAGGACTATCCAAAAATTTAACAGGAAGGTTATAGGAATAAAGACCTATGAAGAACCTGATGTGTTTTCTGCCTGTCTAGCCAACTGAGAAGCTGCACACAAGCAGGGAATACTTAGAAGGACCTAAGCACTCCACTCATTTCTGGCAGACCAGAGGGTTCAGGAACACACAGGAGAACTAAGAAAGTCTGGCAGAAAGTAAAACTTCAGGCCTTCTTAGGAAACTAAGAAATTGCTTAATTTCTTAGTTTGGAAATGGCTTGAATTTTTAGTGTACTACCTAACCCACATACAAATCTACTGGCAAAGACTAAAAACCTTACTGATTCAGGTTTGTTTGAGTATGACGGCTAATCAATAGTGAGTTGATGGGTATCCTTTAAAAAATGAAAGTAACCTGCCAGGCTTAGTGGTGTACACCTGTTATCCTACCACTTGGGAGGCTGAAGCAGGAGGATCATGAGTTCTAAGCCCAGCCTGGGCTACTTAGCAACTTCAAGACTAGCCTGCTGGACTACTTAGTGAGACCCTATGAAAAAAAGAAGTAGAAAAAAGAGAAGGAAGAAAAGGAAGAAAAAAGAAAATGACAGAATTTCTTGCTAGCCAACCTATCTTACAAAAATTCTAAAGGATGCCTGAAAGAAATGACAGCAGATGTTGACTTGAATTCACACACACACACACACACACACACACACACACACACATTGAAGAGCATAGTATATAATAAATATATGCTAAATATGAAAGAATACATAAATATATTTTTCTGTTAATTTTTTTCTTAAAAGATAAGAATTTCTAAAGCAATTATTCTAATACTGTATTCTGGGTTTATAAAATATATACATACATCAAAAAATTCAGTAACAACAAATGCAGGTGTGGCTGCAGAGGAAAGGGAACTTTTCCACATTGTTGGTGGGAATGTAAACTAGTTACAACTACTATGGAAATCAGTACAGAAATCTTTCAGAAAACTAAAATTAGAAATTCCATTCGGCCCAGGTATTCCTCTTCTAGGTATCTTCCAGAAAGAATTCAAGATATCATATTATAGTGATGCATGCATACTAATGTTTATAGTAGCACAACTCATAACAGGTAAATCTTGGAAGCAGCCTATATGTCCACTGACAGAACAATGAGTAAAAAAAATGTAGTATTCATACACAATGGAATACTACTCTGCCATAAAGAAAAACAGAGTCATTTACAGAAAAATGGATGCAACTTGAGACCATAATATATTGCATGAAATAAATCAGACACACAAACTTAAATATTATATCGTTTTCTTTATATGAGAAACATTAAGTGTAAATAACTTAAAAACCAAAATAAAAGACAATAAGAAACAAGGAGATAGATGTTTTGCAAACAGGAAGGGAATCTAGAGATGGAGGGAAGAATCAGGAAGGAAAGGGAAAGGGAATAAAAAGAATTAAGGCAAATACACGTTATGTAAATATATGAACTCCCCACAATGAAGATAATCACCATGCAAACATATACTAGTTTACAAGAAAAAGTGATGCCTACACTTGCTAAATGTCTTTAAAAAAAGAAGAAAATAAAAAAATAAAAATAAATAAAAATAAATAAATAAATAAATAAAGAAGAAAATATACTTATAAGAAAGTCATTCAGCTTAGAGGTATTCAGAACTTTCAAGATACAAAAAGGAAAAGCAAAAGAAATAGAAACAAAATCCACAGAAAAACAAAAAAGGACCAATATGTAGGAGGGGTTTGCAAAGCAAAAAAAAAAGAACTTTATCAATCAACTGCCAAAGATTTCTTAAAACGTGTACTACCATCAATATTTTCAATAAATAGAAATTCACAGCCTGCGGGTAAACAAATTTTCAATGAAAATGTTAGTGAAAACAACTATTCTAAACATGATATCTCCATGTATTAAAATAATGAAATAGCAAAATGTTTGTGATATTGTTGAATGAAAATCATTTCAAAAAATACTGCTTCTCAGCCTTTCAGCTAAGATATTTGTTCTTATTAGTTTCATATTTGATACATCATCTAAGAAAAATATATCAAATGGATTTTGTCAGCAAGGAGATGAAATGGGACCTTGTCTCGTCCACTCCAAGCATCAACCTAGTACCTCCAAGGGATGGCACAACAATTAAAAGTAATACATCTCTCAAGTATAATTATAACATTTTAAAATTATCAATATATATAAATTATAAATATATAATTACTAAGTATACATAAGCACAGTGCAGTGACTAGGAAAACATATGCAAAAGTGTTAGGCATGACTTTTTCTTCTCTAGATGGCAATATTATAAGCAATTACTTTCTTTGGGTTTAAATGGCCTAATTTCCGTATTTTCCATTTAGTACAAGAAACACCCAGCTCCCCCCCTATAAATAAAAAGACTTATAGCTCTTGTTTGGAGTAAGTGAATGATTTTCACAGCAGATATGCTAGCTCTTCTTTCTCCAAAGCACTTAGTATCACAAACACTAAAGCCTAAAGACTAGTTTGTTTTATTTCTTTTTATGGCTTTTCTCATGTGTTCCAAGAGTTGAAATCTTAGTCCAAATAAATGAAGAGAAGGTTTATTCCTCCTAAATTTAGAAATAAAAGTACAAATATAGTTAAATCTGAAATAGTTTTTATTAAAATTTTACAGACTCAAAAACAGTACAATTCACATGGTTCAGTGTAAACAGAATGGTGTTTATACTACAATTAGGTATGAAGAGTTATGTGCAATAAATTGCAGTTCCTTTAGACAGAAACTTTAGAATGGATAGAAAGCCAGAAATTAAGCCAAAAAGATAAACATACTTTGGGGTTTAGCTATATTTTGGAACATTGTTTATAGAATGAGAAAAATCTAACAATGTTGCCTGCAGACACAGGCACATTCACTGATGAGACACATGGCTCATGCTGAAAACATCTGGTCTGTCAAATAGCTCCACATTTTTCAAGGCTAATTAGTACAAAACTCAGTGATTCCTGGCAGCAAAGAACATTACCTTCTTTTCCCCATTATCCCTTCCGTAGCATATTCATATTCCAACCATAGGAAATCAATAAGATTATTCAAATATATAGCATATTTCCACATCAATGACAGATAAATAATTGATAGCAAATTGAACACCTACATGAGAAAAAAATCTATTTCCAGTGGCCATGGAATTCCCAACAAGATTTTGACATTACTTTTGAAAACCTCTAAACGTTATTAAAACTGAATCAAAGGGGAAATTCCTAAATTTTATTTGTACGTGTTCACTCTTACCTCCCTCTTGCAGCACCCCTAACAGAGAAAGAAGCAGAAATACAATAAGGGATATAAAGGAAGAAGAGCTGAATAAGGCCTAAATGGGACAACTAAGATCCAAATAACTGAGACATTGTTGAACGCTATCATAAGAAAAGGAATGCTGATTCCAAACAAATAAAATTTCAGTACTTTTTTGCATGGCATGGAACAAAGTTTCATAATGATGGCTTTTAAAATTAAGTGGTCCTTGAAAGTGACTCACAAGTATCTGTAAGAATTTTTTTAAAATTCAAGGTATGATAAAATATGAGGTAAAAGTTATTACCACAAGAAAATATTAGTTCCTTTCATAATCAAAAAGCATCAGTAACAACTACTTAATCCCTTCTATGTGCTAGAGATAAATGGTGATGTATCTTTTCTTCGGGAGCACAAAACCCAGTAGTACAACCAGTATTTGTAGTTAAAAATAATAATAATGAGCTTCTAGCCTTGCAGGCATAACAAAAAACAGACATAACCTCCCACTTTATAAACAAGTATAGTATGGGCTAAAAAACATAAAACAACTCTTTTCAGTCACTGGACATCAGGTAACACAGAACTATGGATTGTGAAAAATGCAGAACCTCAGCGGCAACCCCAGACCTGCTTACCCCACGCAATCCATGCACACAGCAGCATTTTAGGAACATTATCCAGATACTTTAAATGTGAGTCCAAAGAGACATGAACAGATATTTTTTCAAAAGTATTTATTGTACAATTGTCTGCACAGCAAACAACTGAAATAATGCCAAATGTCCCTCTCTGCACCAGCTGGGATATTTATGCTATAGTAACAACCCCAAACGTCTCAGTGACCTAAAAGAACAGTTTAAAACTTAGTAAGACAGCAGGGAAGCTCTCCTCATTAAAAATAATCAAGGACTCAACTATCATAAACATTACCATTTATCATGAGCAAGGAAAAATAGGGAACTCTGAAAGGACCTACATTGGAAATGAAATGCTAAGCCCAAAGGTAACACACATTACTTCTACTCACATCTTATCAGTCAAAAACAGTCATATAGCCCTACATATATAAAAGGAGCCTAAGAAATATAGCCCTATATTTAAAAAAAAGAAGAAGAAGAAAAGGAAAGAAATATAGCCCTACCTGGTGCCAGAAAAAGGCTGAGCTAAAAATATTGGTAAACAGCACTTACAATAAACACTGGATTATTATGGATTATTCACATAGTGAACAACCATACAGTGATTAAAATGAGTGTACTAAATCTATACACATAAAGAAAAGCTCTACATTAGTATGAAAATCCCATAAAGGCAGATATCTTTTATGTTTTGTTCATAGCTGTATCCCAAGAGTAACACCTAACATAAACTAGAGCATAATTCATTTTTGTTGAGTGAATGAATGGATCTGAAAAAACAAGAACTGAGAATCATCTACATAATAAAATATATGATTTATAGACATTTAAAACACAGACAAGCATAGCCACAAAATTTATGATACCAGTTTCCTCAGGCAAGCAGGAAAAGGTATAGATCAAAGAAGGGGATATAAATTTTAATGGCAATTTTTTAAAATATGATAGCCAGACATGGTGGTGCATGCCTATAATCTATTTGGGAGGATGAGGCAGGAGGATTGCAAACTTAAGCGTAACCTGGGCAACTTAGCAAGATCCTATCTCAAAATAAAGAAGGATGTAGCTCAATGGTAGACCACTTCTAGATTCAATACTATATATATATCCATATATATTTAAGTTATGTTTATATACATACATATGTATATACGTTTACACACATACACGTTTATACATGTGTATGTTTATATATATATGGATCACAACTGAAAAGTCATTAATCTCTCTTTAATTCAGACAAGTAGGTACACATATGCTTTTCTATTCGCTGCAATTTAAGAACTTTACTACAAGGTTATTGGGGAAACTCCACTACATTTTTTTTTTTTTTTTTTTGGTATCAGGAATCAAACTCACGACCTCGCACCTGCCAGGCAGGCACTGTGCCCAGCCCCACTAATACATTCTTATTTCACTAAACATTATATTCCATAGTAGTCTACCAATTTACTCCATGTGAACATATCCTCCTGGGGAAAAGGGAGTCAAAGAGACAATTCAAAGAAACAAAAAAACTCATGCTCATGCTTTAGCTTCAAAATTCTTAAGAATTCAGACTTTTTATCTACAATGCTTCTAGTCATAATTTCAATATTAAACACATTTTAGCTGCATATCTTTTCCCTCAAAACCAAGTAAAATTAGCATTGCAGGAAGATGTACTCTGTCTGTTCTTACTATTGCTTCACATACCCACATACTGCAAGGTGCCCCAGGGCAGAGAAGGTAAGGATGCTTACTTTAGTTTGGGAATAAAAGTGAAAGTCACTATAGAGTCTTCTCTGGAATAAAACTAAAAGAAACTACACATGAGAAGAATCCTCTGAATCTGACACTGACCATGCCCTCTGTGATGATTACTTTTATGTGTCAACTTGATTAGGCTATGGTACCCAGATATTTGATCAACATTTTTCTACAACTTTCTCTGAAGCTACTTTTTTGGACAAGATTACCACTTAAATCAATGGACCTTGAGTTAAGAAGACTATTCTCCATAATGTGAGTGGCCCTCCTTCAATCACAGTTGAAGACCTTAGTACAAAGCAGCTAAACTCCTGAATTTTACCAGAAGACTGCCTTTGCTTTCAAGTTATAACATTGCTTCCCTTGTACATTTTGAGCTTACTAACCTCCATAATCATGTAGCCAATCACTTAAAATAAATATTCCCCCAGAGAGACGGATGAGCAGACATATACTTGCATGCACACATACACAAGCATGATATCCTATTGGTTCTTTTGCTAGAGAAGCCTGACAAATCCGCTCCTACACGAGAACCAGTAACTATTTTTTCTATGACAGTATTAAACCATAATATCTTTTTCAAACTATCACTAAAATAAGTATAGGCTTTCCCCATTAAAAGACTGGGACTTATAAAATCAAACTACAAGTATTATTTTTTATTAAACATAATACATGACCAGTAGAACACAAATCTAGAGTGAATCAGTAACTAGGCACACATGAGGCTAAAGAAGATGTTGTTATATTGGAAAAGCGATACCAAATATGGGCCTTAAAAGTATTCTAGGGCTGAGGATGTGGTTCAGTGGTAAAGTACTTGCCTAGTATGCACCAGGCCCTAGATTTAATCCCCAGTATTCTACTCTTACCTCCAAAGAAAGTAGCCAAAAAACAAGTTTATACTGCTAAAAGCAAATTTAGATGATAACTTTTCAATAAAAATTCTTACCTTTTAGTTTTCATCTGGTCCCTCAATTTGCTGTACATCTCTAGGACTTGAAAAAGAGAAAAAAACACAAAAAACTAATTTAGAGAAAGTGAAGGAAGAATTAAAGTGAATTAAAGCTAAAGAGTGCCATCAAGAATTCTACTCCATTTCCAATTCCTCACCTGGAAGACACAGCATTAATTTATCAACAGTGGCAGAAATATTTCTTTGTTGTAGTCGACACTGCTTCAGCTCTTCCATTGCTATCACCAGCTTGGTAAGAGGGGAAAAAAACACTGAATTACGCCAATAGCTGTAAATAAAAAGCTTTCAGTCACATTTTTCCACACTGTGTTCAATTCATCAGAAAATCCCAGACAGTTTCATAGTAAGAGCTTCCAAGTGGACTAAGGAACTGCCTTTCTCAACCAGTAAAACATCCCTGCACAGTTTTCCACTTTCTCCCCAAGATACAGAGTATGCTAGAATGGACTACATGAAATGAAATCCTAAAATATAGGGGCTATCCAGGAAAAAAAGAAAACATTTTACGTATTTTCTCCAAATCCTATTCAGACTCTTCGTGATTTATGGTTTCATCAATCTCCTAAGAAGAGTCTATATTTCTTTCACCAATGCTAAACTGAAAGAAAACAGTCCTTCCTATACAGCTTCAAATGAGCATGAAAATGATCTTCAATTAAGTTTCTATTTCAACAATAAGCCACAAACTTAGAAGAGGTGGCTTCTCTATAAGATTCAGTTTAGTACAGAGTAATCCACTTTTCTTCCCACAGCTCCTAAAGGATTCTACCTGAAGTCATCCCACAGTATGCCGGTAGAAACTGTCCGCTGCATACTCAGAACATGAGAGACAATAATTTAATTAGCTACTTGCAGCACTGATCCTACACCCATACCTAAAAATGTTATTTCCTTAGATATCATGCAAAAAAAAGAATAAAAGAGAATGTCCCTAATTATATCTCTGATCAAACAATCAAAAGCAAACCTTAAAGATTATTAGAATTAAATATTAAGTAAGTATTAGGGGATAAAGCAAGTACATGATACAGAAACCAGTAATGGACTATGAGTCAGAAAACTTGGGTTATAACCCAGTCTTACCAATGATTTTATGAACTTAGCAATCATCAGTTCTAGTCATCATCAACAAAACAATAACTGCTCTGATATTATCTTCATCTGCCATGAGGATTAAGTGAGTAAGTGGGCATAAAATATTGCTAACTGTCAAGGTTTAAACAGTGAATATATCCATTAATAGAATCAATCATTCTTTTCGTCTCCTTGAAACTGGGGATTGAACCCATCCCTCATGAAAGCCAGGCAAGCATCCCACCACTGAACTTTATCCCCAGCCATCACCACTTTATAAACAAATATTTACTGAGTCCCACTTTCTGCCATTACTATCTAAGCAGATAAAAGGGATACAACAATGAATAGAACAAACAAAACCTTCTGATCACATAGACATAATTTCTAACAACGGGAGACTGATAAAAAAATTACGTAAGTAAAAATATAAATCAAAAAATGGAGAAAAATAAACTGGGAATAGGTAAAAAGAATGCAGGGAGGGCTGGGGATGTAGCTCAGTGGTATAGTGCTTGCCTAGCACACACAGGCCCTGAGTTCAATCCCCCATATCACAAAGAAAAAAAAAAAAAAAGGCAGGGAATAAGGGGTAAGACTACAACTACAAATAAGGTTTAGGACAGGTCTTAGTGAAAAGTTAAGTGAATATTAGGGAATGAACATTTCCAGGCAGAGAAGAGCATTGGCCATATTTTCAATTAATGATTTAAAAATGCAACTAGGGAAGGCTGCATTCTCTCTCATTAAACTCTCTAATGACTATATTCATTTAAATGAGAAAAACATTAAGAGAAGCAAAAGTAACACCCAAGTACTTCCAATATATTGCTTAAGGTCTTTTTTATTTTAATGTAATACACATAGATATTAATAAAGAAAATATAAAAACCATGCTATTTTACTTCTATGAAAAAAAATAAAACAATACCTAAAGAACTTCAAAAAATTAAGGCCCCCTCCCAAAATAAAGGACCCAATCAAAGAATGGCCAACCAAAATGAAAAGACACTTCTCAAAAGTACAGATGGTCAATAAATACATGAAAAAATGTTCAACATCACTGATCATAGAGAAATGTAAATTAAAACTACACTGAAGTACCACCTTACCCCAGAAAGAATAGCTGTCATCAAAAAAAAAGTCTAATAAAAACAAATGCTGGCAAGGATGTGGGGAAAAAAGAACTCTTCTAGAGTATATTATTGGTAGGAATGTAAACAAATACAACCAACCTGGAAATCAGTATGGAAAATGCTTATACAGATTTGTAAGCCCTAACTGAAGAACAGTCATTAAATAGTCATCAAGACAATGGCTTAGAACAGAAAATATTTTTTAACAAGATAAACTGGCCTTACTTCTTTTCCTTCTTGTTGCAGTTTTCTATTAGTGTCCGTCACTTGATTCTGTGGAGAGAAGATAATTTAAACTCATAAAAACATTTAGACAATAGCTGGATAAAGATCAAAAATTAATATGAAGCCAGACATGGTGGCACATGCCTGTAATCCCAACACTTGGGAGGCTGAGGCAGGAGGATCGCTGTGAGTTCAAGGCCAGTCTGGGCTATATAAGTGAGTTCAGAGCCAGCCTGAACTTCATAGTGAGAACCTGTCTCAAAAGAAAAAAATTAATACGAAAAGGTAGCTAGCTACTTTTAATATTCCACCACATGTTGGTCCAGTGACACGCTCTTGAATTTAAACTATATCCACTTTTCTACTGGACATCTGCATGACCTTTTGAACAATGAAAAGAAATATTTACTGAAAGACATGTTTACATTGGAACATTCTAAACTAAGACGTTACAATGAGTAAAGATCACACTTTTAGAAAAATAACCTACAAAGAACCTTACGATTTCTACAATATCTAGAATGAACAAATTATATTGTGGACATTTCTCACTTTGCCAATGTATTCTTGAAAGGTTAGGTATAAATCAACTTTTTTTGGTATTGTTTTGGTTTTTGGTTCTTGGTATTTTTGTTTGTTTTGTTTTTTTTGAGACAAGGTCTTACTATGTAGTTCATGCTGGCCTTCAATTCATTATGTAGCCCAGGCTGGCCTGGCACTCACTGTGATCCTCCTGCCTCAGCCTCCTCAGCACTGGGACTACAGGCATGCACTGCTACACGCTGCCCACAAATTCAACTTTTTAACTCAGATCAAATTTTTACAATTTTTATCATTCTAACTTTAGAAAACATTTTATCTTAATTCTCCTAATACTTCCACATTCTCATTATTCTCTGCATTAGATCATCAAAAATACATGACTAAGCCTTAAAATGATCTATAGTTCATAATTTAAAGGAACAGACACACAATTTTACTAGTCTCTACTTTTTTGGTACTGGGGCTTGAAGCCAACACCTCTGTACAGAGCTACATGTCCACCCCTTTTTGTAAGTTTTTTTGGGTTTTATTTGGGTTGTTTGTTTGTTTTTTTTTAAGATGGGGGTCTCACTAAGTTGCCCAGGGTGGAAATCAAATTTTTGATCCTCTTGCCTCAGCCTGCTAAGTAGAATATATTTTTGATGCTTCTACTGATGTTAAAAAATAGTGAGTACACAAAATAGTAATTTCTTCATCTCAGACATTATAAAAACATGAACAATATTAATTTCTAAAACTCTCTTTAGTAGAAGCTGTCTAGTCTTCCACCAGTAACTACTACTCCTTATATTTTGATAACATTCTCCTAATCCAGTACTTCCTGTGATTGTACCTTAGAAGATAGAAAAATGTTAATGTTACTAACATAGTGTACACACTCATGCATGCATACACGCATGCACACACAGTGTAAATATTCAAGAAAAAGATAGAATATGAAATGTTTTCCAAACTTACCTAACATAACACCCTTTTATTCAAGATCATCTCAAGAAACTAGTTTTTCAGGAAACCAATTTTTTGAAATCTTTTCTGTAAATTATACACAATAATTAAACTATATTTTCAGAGCAGATTGCCACATGTATCTCTGCTTTCAAAAAGAAAATGAAATCTGACCCCTCCAGAAAACCTTTAAAAAACATGAAAAAAAAGAGGCAAGAAACACTCAAATTACCTCTTTATTACTTAAGAGCACCACATGTGAAACACTTTGTTGTTTTATTGGACGATGAGCTCAATATGAATTAAGAGTTTGCGGTAGCTCCCCAAATGCAGATACAAGGCATTAATAGAAGCACTATCTAAATCAGGGATCCACAAACTGCATAAAAGGTCAGACAGTAAGCATTCTAGGTTTTGCAGGCCACACAGTCTTTGCTGCTGTAGCAGGTATGCAGTCATTTAAAAATGTAAATAAGTAGGCATAGCTGTGTTCTAATAAAACTTCATTTAAAAACATAGAAGACAGCTTTGGCCTAAAAAATAGAATCTGCTCATCCCTGGTCTATAATAAGACCACACTACGGGAATTACATTTAAATATCATGTTTTACAAAGGCCACTGACAAGCTAAAGCACAAAGACGTGAATAATTTGGGGAGGGAGCTAAAGCTACCACACATGAAAAACAGATGAAGGAATTTTTTAGGCCAAAAAGGGGGCAAATACTTATTGAGAGACACTATATTTGGACCATATACACTACATACACACCTGAATAACAGCTGCCCTCAAATATCTTGAAGAACTAGCAGAAGGGAAGTGGAATGATAGTGCTTCACAGGAGTTGTTCAATAATAAGCTACATGTTTATCTTAATCTTATACTGGAGATCTCTTCTAAATTTCAACCCTCCAAAAATACTGCTAAAGTCAGCATAACTGTTCCTATTAAAGTGGCCTTCTTTACCTTATGAAGACACCACTTCTCACTTTGTTTTAACCTCAGAAAATCATAATAAAAAAATATATTTACCTTGCAATTCGCCACCTATAAATACACACATTTTTCAAGAAACAATTTGTGTTCTTACTACATATAATATACTATATTTCCTAGTCAACTGTTTAATTTTAGTGTTTGTTAAAAGATCACTAAATCAAAGTCCACTAACTTGATTTCATGCAAACTATGGTCTAAATATACATTGGAAACAGGCATATGGTATATGCCTGTAATCACAGCACATGGGAGGCTGAAGCAGGAGGCTCACCGTGAGTTCAAAGCCTATCTGAACTACATAGAGAGAACCTGTCTCAAAAAAACTAAAATAAAATAAAATATATCCATAGGAGCCTGATTAATGTTTCTGATAAGAAAGAAAATAATTATTTAAATACTGTTCAAAAACTATTTCAATACATTACAATGAAAAGAAACTATACTGACAATAGTCTGGGATTTCTTTTGATTTAGGAAACGTAAATATGGTAAGTATGAACATATACATAAATATAATTTATGCAATGCTGTGAATCATGTAATGGACATCCTAAAGAGTATAATTTATTTTCATTTTGGTCTTAAAATAGTATTGTAAATAGATAACACTTATTCTTTTTCATTTTCCTATACTATTTTAGAAACTTTCCTGTAGCTCAGGAAACTACCCTTTATTGGCTCTGAACCTAGACCAAATGGATCTCCCTAGAGCACAGTCTATCAGATGTGCAGCTAGACATTAATCCTCTCAGCCTCAGAGCAACTGGGTAGAGCCTGAAGCAGCAAGAACCCTGAAATGGAAGCATTCAGCTCACATGTTCTCTCAGAGACACTCTGACCAATCTGAAGGAATTTGCAACTTGAAGCAATCTGAAGGGGAGACAAATAAAGGGAAAGCAGATGAGTACCAATCAGCAAGTGATATCATCAACTCATGAGCATTTATAGGCAATATTCAGTGCTACATGGCCAAGGAGGGATTCCATAACATGGCCACTTCAATATCCTGTGGGTTGTCATGGACTAAGGTCCCAAGAAACTGGGATAGGTTTGGGACACAAGTATGCAAAAGGCATAGACAAGAACAACCCAAGATGAGGATGGAAAGCTAGGATAACTAGGTAAGGAAAACAGCACATTAACAGCAAAAGAGGGCTGGGGATTTAGCTCAGCGGCAAAAGCGTCTGCCTGGCAAGTGCAAGGTCGTGAGTTCGGTTCCTGGTACTGGAGAAAAAAAACAAAAAAAAACAAACAGCAAAAGACTTGTTACCTCTAAGTACAGGAAGAAACTAAGATGTACAAAAGAGAAATTTAATTTTGTTGGCAATATTTAATTTCTTCAGATGGATAGATACTGTTGTATAAGTCTATAAATTTTAAACCCTTCAGACACAATGTGTTTTACACTTCAGAATTTTGATGATTTTATAAAGACAATAATTTTATACAATATATAACATCCCCTAGTGAAGACTAGCAGAGTACTCTATAATCAAACATTAAAATTTCTATCACAAAAGATAAACTTTCACATTAAATAAAATAAGATATTTGATAGTTTCATGTCCATTTAGGTTGTTTTGCAGTCAGATGAGATTTTAAACTACTGTAGGTTTAGAATATAACTTAGTATCTGACATCCCACTTTACCCTTCAATAAAATTGTTTCATTCTTTTTCCTACCAATGTCTTCTTTTAGATGAATTTTACCCTATCGAATTCACCATTTACCTATGAAAATCCTTTTAGAGTTTTGATTCAAATCCAACAAGAAAAAAATTAAAAGCATAAAGACTAGAAAAAAGAAAATAAACTGTTAATTACATATAGATTATATGAGAAGTATTTCCATAGAACACTAAAAAAATCTAAACATAAATTATTTGATATAACAGAGTAAGTGCTCACTTCAGCAACACACATAGTAAAAATCAACATAACAGAATAAGTTTAGTAGAGTAGTTAGATTTAAGGTGAATAAGCAAAATCATTTATCCAAGATTAGTGAATTTGCTACAACAAGGACCAGACCAACTTGACCAGCCCTCTTCCTAAATGTGAATCTGTCACATCAAAAAAGAACCTTCATGCTTTGGTGATGCACAACTACACAGACCTTTTTCTCCCTTGGCCTACACGTCATGCTGCAAATAATTTTAAAGCAATGCCCTGAAACTTTGGCATTCTTCAAAGATAGCTTTTATCCAGGAAGGAAGGAAGATGACAAGAAGAATCAAACTGAGTTTCTGTTTGAAAGAAACAGTTACTGATTGCTAGTTCTGACTCATTTGTAGATATCCCAATGAAACTCTTAACTAAAAAGGATATCCTCTTTAGCTAAAAACTCATAAGCTCAATTATTTAGGTTTCAGTATAAATTCCTTTCTTACAACACAAAAATTTCTACTATAAATTTGTGATCTGTAAGGTAGTTCATATTCTTTTAAGGCTAATCAGAACCTCAGAGGAAAAGAGAGAAACAAGTATCTTGTAGAGTCTCCTTACTTTGAGTTTCTGGGCTTCTCCTCTCACTTTCAGCAATTCAGTAATAGAATCCACAAAGCCCTGGTAATGAAAGTTGCACATTTTCTCGATTTCTCGGTCATGATTGCGGATGCGAGTTTCAAGCTTCTCCATGAATCGTCCATGTTCCTCACCATCATAGACAGACCTTTAAAAAAAAGCCATGAAAATTATGGCACATTTATTTTTAAGCAGAAAGAGAAATACAACCCCAGAAGCAATTTTATTTGAATATTAGATTTTTAGGGTACATAAGCCACAAAGTAATCCAATTGTTTTAACATTATTTCAATGTTAAAGAGTACTTTCTAGGAAAATCTAAAAATTTGCTTTCTCATTCACTTAAAAATATTTGACAGTATTCACCACAAAATTCTCCTCATAAAATGAAAGGAGTTAATTACAATGCCCCTGTCTCTGTCTTTCTTAATTTAACTAGTCTAGACAAACTCAATTTTGGTAACCCAACTATCCAATTATTCCATGACTCTACCCAAAAAGCTAAAAACTACTGGAGAAATTTCATAGTTGGGCTGGTTATACTCAATATAGCTCTACAGCTCCAAACCTACATTAGGCATTTAATATCACTAGAAAATTCTACTACAGGTTGAATAGTCCATATCCAAAATGCTTGAGGATGACAAATGTTTCAAATTTTGGATTTTTTCATATTTTAGAAATTTGTAAATACACAATAAGATTTCTTAGGGATGAGGTCCAAATCTAAACATGAAATTCATAAGTATTTCATATACCTCTACACAGCCCAAAGGCAAGTTTATGTAATATTTTTAGTGCATCAGCATTCTGACTGCAACTTATCATGAAATTAGGTATGGAATTTTCCACTTCTGACATCTGTCATGTGGGCACTCAAAAAGTTTTGGATTTTAGAGCATTTCAGATATTGGATCTTGGGCTGGGGATTTAGCTCAGCGGCACAGTGCCTGCCTGGCAAGCACGAGGTCGTGAATTCAATTCCCGGTACCGGAAAAAAACAAAAACAAGGAAAACAAAAAAAATCAGATATTGGATCTTTAGATTAGGGATGCTCAACCTGTATCACTGTTACCCCCTCCCAAAAAATAGTTTGTATTCTCTAAAATATCTAACCTTACTTTCTCTTCTCCTCAATGTTCACGCCCTCACTTTCAGTTACTTGGCCTTACTGTATACCTCATAGAAAAAAAGAAGTAAAATATCTCTTCCCTCATGAAAACCAACCAACCTGCTAAGATGTGTGCCTCTTACTCTGTCTAGCCTCCTGTAACAATGGAAGAAGTGTTCCAAGCTTTTAGATACAATCAACCCTTCTAGTTGTCTCAAGAACATTCCTTCTATAATCATTCCCTTTTATCCCTCCTCTGCACTACATATTTCCCCCTCTCTACTAGATCATTCTCATGTATATGTTAATATGACCTTTAAAAACCTGCCTTTTACTACACATACATCCCTCTCCAACTACCTCATTTCTCTGCTCCCCTACCTAGGGGAGGGGAAAGAAAAAAAAAAAAGAAAAGCAAAATTTCTTTCCATTTCCTTTCCACCTCAATTCCTTACTTGACAAGAGGTAAGTATTCGTTGTACTCCACTTCGTAGCAGCATTTGCTAAAGTTTGATAGTCTCTCCTTTTTCAAACACTCTCGAGTAGATTTCAAAGATACCATACTAACATGATTTTTAACCTTTCACTGACATGTCTTCTCAATCTCCCTTCCCAGCTCCTCCTCTGTTTCAATTCTAAATATTCATAAAACCATCTCTTTTCTCTGTGTTCTCTCACAAAGCAATCAATTTGATGCCTCTGAAATACCATTCAGAAGCACTGACTTCTGAATCTATACTTACAATTCAGAGCACTTCCCTGCACACTAGACTCAAATCTCCAGCTACTACTTAACAACTTCAATTGGATTTTTAAAAGCCATCTCAAATTTAACAAAGAAAAAAAATCTTTTATAACCAACCTATCTCCACTCCCAAATTTATTCCTCACCAAATTTCGCAGCCACCTACCACACAACTAATGGCACTATCCAGTTGCCCAAGCTAAATATCTAAGAATCACTTCTAATCTCTTTCCCATCCTATCTTCCATCCAATCCCTTAATAAGTCCTGACATTCACCCTCCAAAATGTGTCCCTTAAAATTGACTATGTCCCACCACTTCTGTTAAAACTACCAGCTTTTCTCTGATAAACAAAGGATTTAAAGTAGAGAAAGACTGCCATCTAGTGATGGCACATTCCAACAGTCCTTAAAACTTGAATGTGATGAAGCCAAGTAAATGGGATTGTTAAAAGAACTCTAAGAACTATATTCTATAAACCTGTTAGCCAAAGAATTATAGTTATTAAATTATATAAATCACTTTAGCATTTCAGTTTCTATTTATTAAAAACAGGATCTTTCAAACAAAGTCATGTGCTTCTGACACATCTAAATATGAGACAGTTAAACATAACATCTGTGGAATAAACTGCACCACTAGTTTAGTTATTTGTAATAATTCCAAGAATATTCCAATACTTAAGAAAAGGTAAACAAGAAATTCTTAGAAATTAATGACTTTTTATAGCCTAAATTTTGAATCAAATAAGTAAAGTACCAGTGTATGGAGTCTGATTTCAAACTCTACCCCCACAGAAAACCACAGGCTTTTGTAATAAGTACAATTTTTATCCTAGCATCCATATCTGATGCACACACTAAACATCGTAAAATGGTACTGTATCTGTCTTCCATCTAGATTTCATATGCCTATTAAGAAATTCTCACTTATAAAATGTACACAAGGAATTCAATTAAACAGATATTTATCATTCCATACTAAACCACCACAGGATTATATAACTTGCTTAGAGCCTACATCAGCTCAAATCTGCATGTTAAGGGGGGAGTGAATAATGTTATGAATATTATGCAATTTCATTTAAATCCTATGTACCTTATGAATTACATATTGTTACCATTTACAAATAAAGAATCTGAAACCCAAGAAGATGAAGTAACTTGCCAATTCACACAGCTGGAAAGTACCCTCTCCAGTACCTCAGTCCATCCCGTTAGAGCAAGGAAAACGTGCCACAACACGTTAAGAGTTGAAAGAGGAGGAAGTGGTGCTGTCTGTCTGTGCAGACCTGGTAGGGCCTTCAACATAGAGCCACGGGTGGCTTGGAGAAAAACTATGAACAAGGCTCTGCCACCAACTACATCACCTGAACAAAGCCCAGAAGAAGCTGCAGCTGAGCCTGGCAGACGTTAGGTGGCTGTGCATCCTGAAGAGCGTTTATGCCCATGAGCTCAAACATATGAAGACAGTTAACAAGGGCTCCACAGCAGCCCAAACCTTTTACCTCACTAAAGACATCAAGTTTCTCCTCCATGAACCCATTGTCAACAAATTCCGGGAAGATAAGGTGTTTATTCAGAAGCTCTGCAAGGCCTATGGGAAAAGTGAGTGAAACACCATGGAGCTTCTGAAGGATAATAAGCCCAACTACAAACTTGACTATATCATCGAGAGTGGTACCCTATGTTTATCAATGCTCTGTGGGACCTGGACAATGCCCCGTCCATGTGCTTCCTCTTTTCCACCTTCCCGTGGGCATACAAGTGCCACCTGCAGACTATGCAGTTGTGCCACCAGCTAACTGTGGAGTTTCTGCACTACATCATGGCTGCCCCATGCACTGCACAAGGTCTTCCTATCCATCAAAGGCATTTACTACTAGGCTGAGGTGCTGGGGCAGCCCATTGTATGGCTCACACTCTATGCCTTCCACCATGATCACTCGACGGATGGGCTACAGGGTCATGGCCACTTTTACTGAGTTCTACACCACCTTGTTGGGCTTTGTCAACCCCACCTCTACCAGTTGCACAACCTCCACTATCCACTGAAGCTCGAGGGTCAGGCCCAAGCAGAGGTGAAGGCAAGGGAGGATGCCTATGCATTGGACTCTGAGAGCTCCACGGAGAAACTGATGGCCATCAGTGCCAGCCTAGCCCATGTGTGGTGCCTGCTGCAGAGGATAAAGCTGAGGCTGATGGGTTTCCTGCTGATGGGGAGATGGCCTGGTGGTACAGGAAGAGAACCAGAAAGAACTGGAGGTTCCAGAAAAGCACAAGAAGCTCTTTGAAGACCTAAAGTTCTTCCTGAACCTCGAGGTGCCCCAAGGGGCCCTGGACTTCATCATCAGAAGTTTCAGGGGGGACATGTCTTGGGAGAAATCTTTGTGCACTGGGGCCACCTATGTCACAGACTCCTGCATCACCCACCAAATTGTCAACCAGCCTGAAGAGCAAAGCCCCATCATCAGCAGGCACTACATGCAGCTCCAACAGGTGTTTGACCATGTCAAAGCCCAGCTCCTCCTCCCTGTGGCAGAGTACTTCCCTGGGGTACAGCTGCCCCTACAACTTTTGCCCTTCATGTCTGAGAAGGAAAGAGATTACATCCCACCCGAGAAGCTGAAGCTGCTGGCTCTGCAGCAAGGAGGCAACCCAGGAAACTTAAAAGAGTCAGAAGAGGAGGAAGAAGAGGAAAAAAGACAATGAAGGTGATGGTGATGAAGAGGAGGAGGACAGAAAGGCTGGTTCAATCCCTTCTCGGCCTTTTGGCTAAGATCAAGTGTAGCATCCGTTCTTATCAGAAAGGCTGGTTCAGAGAAGAAAAAGGCCCATCTGGCGACCCTGAATGAACAGAGGATGGAGGAGAAGAAACCCAAGGTGATGACAGGCACCATGAAGTTAGAGGACAAGAAGCAGCTGGCCCAAAAGAAGGAAAGTGAGGCCAACTGCCTGAGCACCATGATTATGAAGAATGAGAAGTATCTTTACCAAAAGATCATGTTTGGCAAGAGGCACAAAATGCTAAAGGCCAACAAACTGGCACAGAAGCAGAAAGCTCACGATGAGGCTCTGAGGTCTGAGAAGAAAGCAAGGCCTGTGTGAGTGCTTGTGGCCCTTCTGGCAGCTGGACATGGCAGAGACAGGCCAGCAGACCTAAGCTTGGTGCAGACCAGTCACTTCTGTTCTCATCCCCCTTCTCCCCAGACAGTCCTGGCACCCTCACGCTCTCTGGTTCAGTGCATGGGCTGTCCAGGTTCTTGTGGACGGAGCTTCCTATTGGTCGCTGG